CCCACAGCCCCTTATGTAGCCTGGGTGGCTATACCCCACATCTTTACAGTCTGGATTCCCCTTGGGCAGCTTGGACCAGGCTCATTGTGTCCTCTTTCATCCTGCTAGTGTTCGGCTGTCCCCTGTGCAAGCTCTCACTGTTCCCAGTACAGGGGGACACTGAAAGTTACTTGAAAGTTGTCTGGGGAGCACAGCTGTATCCTCTGTATTTTTCTGCTCTCACTCTCTCTTTAATCTTCCCTTAAAGACAATTAGCAGAAAGTACAATTAAGCCTTGTGTGAGCTTAAGGCATACTGGACCAGTCCTGCAGCTGTGTTGTAGACCTTTAGTCCATGTACCCCAAGCCACACAACTTCCCTACTGCAAAGTTGAGACCCTCAGCAGATCTGCAGACCCTCAACAACTTCATGTCTGAGATGAGAGCGAGTGAGATGGAGAGCTTGGGTGTTCCTGGTGTGCCTGTCAGCCCTCAGACTGACACCAAAATCAGCCCATGTGAAGGCTGTTGGTCCATCTCTGCTAGCGTAGCTGGAGCAGGAGAGGACATTTCTAGTCTGGGAAGAGTTTTGTGTAGCTGCAGGCAGCAGGTTTCCTCCCCACGCAGCCACAGGCAGTGGTGGTGGGCTAGTGCTTCCAGGGACTCCGTCCAGCAGGGACATGCTGGCCACAGCTCTCCTGTCCCTATCATGACCTGGGCTCTGGTTGAGCCCTTTGACCCAGCTGGTTGCTGCACGTTATTTTTCTGATGTAGTTGCCTTGATTTTTGGATTTTGTGCTTTCTTGGTGTGGCTTCAGGGATGCAGCAGTGGGAGAGGAGTGTGATTTGTCAGCAACTTCCAGTGATGAATTCAGCAAGAAGCTGAATATTTCATCCATTTAGCAAATGAATAGAGGGAGCAACAAGAAGCTCTTTTACCAATGCGTTTGTTCTGAAACCTCATCCTCGTGTGTTCCTTGTGGGTGACCTTTGGGACGTGGAAACGTCATTTGTGGAGGTGGCTGTCTGCATTTCCAAAGCTTTCTGAGCTCTCCCAGGAATAGAAATTATCCTTCTACCATAATTTTAGATCTTCTATGTTTGCCTTTTTTTTCCCCCAGTTGGTAGGACATTTTGCAAGAAAATGGGATTTTCGCCGCTTGTTATGCGGCATGTCATGTCATCTGCTCCTGCTAATTTTTCTCTCAGTCATAATCCTCTCCACAGTTGCTTGTGATTTCAGGTGAGCAATGAGCAGCAGGAGCTGATGAATTCTTAAGCAACTGTGAGTCTTGGCGGGGGGAGCGTCATGCAACTGTTCCTAATAATAAAACACCAAGTCAGACAGCTGCAGAAGAGATGGGCCGTCTGCAGAGCTTGTTCCATGGTGGCGTTACGGAAGCCATTCAAAATGTCCCCCCAAATCTGCCAGTGTCCCCAGCGCAGTGGTGGATGCACAACCTCACCTCATGTATCATTGCCTGCGCCATGAGAGCAGGGAGAGGTGTTGGAAGAGATGCCAAGCAGTGTTTGGGTGCACAGCAATGAGAGAAATCACCATAAACCATGCAGATTTTAGGAGAAATGAGTGGCAGGGTTGTAACAGCCTCTGTTTGGAGCCATCATATTGCAGCAATGGTGTATTGGAAATGCTTCCACGAGATAAGGTTTGTGGAGGTGGGGATTTAGGTACTGATGGTGGCTGCTGTGGGTTGAACGCGGTAGGAGTTCCTTTAGTATTCCTGGAGGGCATCCCCACCAGGAGCAGGGAGAAAGGCGTGACTTGAAGGCAGGGAGCAGGAGTTTAGCTGGGGCGAGGGGAAGACCAGTAGAAGAAAATGCCCTGAAGCCCGATGCTATCAGGTTCTCTCCCCGCATCAGAACCATCCTGTGAATTTCTGGGCTCCTCTGGCTCAGCTATGCCCTTGCATTTGTCCTTGCCTTGCAGAACACGTCCCAACAGCCTGTGCTCGGGTGGATGCCCTGCGCTCCCACGGCTATCCCAGAGAAGCTCTCCGACTAACTGTTGCCATAATCAACACCCTGCGACTGCAGCAGCAAAGGCAGCTGGAAATATATAAGCATCAGAAGAAAGGTATGAGTAGAGCAATGTCCCAGCTGTATCAGACAAACTGATGCATCTGATTGCTTGAGCTGAACTGCGTTGGTACCCACCTGGTAAGGACAGAGAGGTGCCCAAGGACAAGTGCTGTCTGGGGACTGCTGGAGTAGAGCTGTTCATGTCTGTCTGCCTGTAAGGACTTCACAGGCGATGGTGGGTGATGCCTGCATTAAAGAAGAGCAGCTTGTCTGCAGAGCTGCAGTAACTGGCTGCATGTGCTACCTCCACCTTGCATTTGCTGAATAAATTGTACCAGGAGACAAGACCAGTGTTTCTCCTTTTGCAATTGCAGGTGGCAGAGAGCTGGGGTCAGTTGCTGCACTGCTCCTGGGCCTTGCTAGCTCAGCCAGCTTGAGATCCTCAGAAGCTGGAGCTTTTAAGACTCACTGGGAGTCTTTGTCATCTCCAGAGAGATTTCTCCTTGTGTTTGCAAAACATTCAGGCTCACATTGCAAATGAGTCTGTAAGCTGCAGGCCTGACTCTGTAGACCCCATCTTGGGACTCTGCAGCCCCTTCTGTCTTCCTGGAACTGAAAGCAAGCCACTGCATCTTATGTGGCCTTAGGGCATCTTTTTTTGTTGGGTGCCTGCTCCCTCCAATGTCTATGGCAGTGTGCAGGGTGGCTGCTCTGAGCCGCTCCTTGCCCTCGCAAGCTGCTGTGCCCAAGTTGGCCCTGGAGGTCCCCGTGCCCCAGGGTTGTCGGGTAAGAAAAAGCCTCTGGTCTCAGAGGCCTCTCTGGATGCAGAATCTGTCTTTAAATTCCTCACTGTTATTTTCTTTCTGTTCCGTTTTTTGCAGAGCTGCTGCAGCGAGGAGCAACAACCATCACCAACTTGGAGGGCTGGGTTGGCCACCCTCTGAACCCCATTGGCTGCCTCTTCCTCACTCTGACCGAAGCTTGTAGATTAGAAGAGGAAAACTGCCTTGAAATTTCAGGTACCGAGCGCTCCTCCTGGCTCCGTTCACGGTGGCTCCAGCTGAACCAAGCCCGGCGGGCAGACCCTGGGTGCAGGTCTGGGGCGTGGGACTCCTGGGCTCCGAATCTCCCCTCTCTCCACCTTTGCAGGAGCAGCCAGGACAGCGCTGCAGCGCAGAGACGGGGAATTAGTGCCCTAAGTTTTCCCAGTGAAGTTTCCCAACCCAGTTTTTCTGGTTTGCAGACAAAGCAGAGGAGGAGAGGGGCTCAGCAGAGCTGGGCCGAGGCATGCTAGCCTGCAGAAAGGCTCTGGAGTCACCCATGCACTGTGTTGCACAGGTCTCGGGTCTCCTGCATCTCCTGGTGAGAGCAGGAAGGAGGGTGAAGCCCACATCTCCTGCATGGAGCTTTTATCCATCATCTCTGGGTAACTGAAGGCAGGCAGCAAGGGGAGCATGGGTCTGGCTTCTGAAGTTGAGAGGTTTTTCTCTCTGCTGTGGTTCAGCCACCTAGGAAGGCTCTTCTAAACCGCTGCATCTCTCTCCCTTCTTCTAGACGCCGGGGACTCCAAACCCCCCGTGTATCAACATGTGCCCGTCGCAACCAGCAGCCAAGACAGCGGCGAGTCCTACCTGTCTCTGGCCTTAGAGGTGGCCCTGATGGGCATGGGTCAGCAGAGGGTGATGCCTGAGGGTCTGTATGCCCAGGACAAGGTGTGCCGCAACGAGGAGCAGATCATCGCCCGGCTGCAGGACCTGGAGCTGGACCCGGTGCTGGTGCAGACCCTGCGGAAGCAGTGCATCTTGCTGCTGGAAGGTGGGGGCTTGGTCCACCTAGCTGTCTCCTGTGCCTCAGCTGAGTGCTGGTAACATCGCTGGGGTGCCCTTTCAAAGGTTTATGCTTGGCTGAGGCCATCCTGGCTCCTTCCTCTGTGGGTGTGGTGCTGAGTCTGTAGGATGGCTGCTCTGCCCCCTCATCTGGCAAAGCAAGGGTTTGCTGCCATCCCTGGAGCAAGATCACCTCAGAGGTGTTACAGACAAGGGTGCTAAGCACGTGGCCTCAGTTTCTGAGGTATTTTGACCTGAAAGGGTTTTTAGAAAAGGAAAGAGCAGCCCTTTGCTCTGGGTGCAACTTGAGCAATGCACCAGGTTGCTGCTGAGCAGGTCCTCAAAGCTGTAAAGTGGTGCAAACCCCTGACACAGATCCTGCTGTGCTAATAATTATGGCTGATGAGCTCCGCTTCTGCCTAGGTGGTCCCTTCAGCGGCCTGGGAGAAGTCATCCACCGTGAGAGCGTCCCCATGCACACCTTTGCCAAATACCTGTTCTCTGCCCTGCTGCCCCACGATGCAGACCTGGCGTACAAGCTGGCTTTGCGGGCCATGAGGTTGGTGCATGTTTTATTCCTTCTCTGTCCCCCGTTTTGCCTCCCTCCTCTGCTTCCCCAGGAAGCTGGGATGCTTTGCAACCCTAGAGGAGAGGCAGGCTTGGAGCATGCTGTCCCTGGGATCATCCTGTACAGTGCGTAGGGCTGCCCAGGCACCAAGCAGCAGTGCTGAGAGACTCCTGCTCTCTGTTTGGGTGATTCCTAGTTTTCAAGCCCCATCCGTAGGGATGTGCATGGGCCTGATAATGTCTGCTGGTCCAGCCCCTCGCCCCAGGCTGGACCGCCACCTGCCTGTCCTGGTGACAGGCGTCCTCCGCTGGAGCAGGTCCCAGGCATGCGCAGTGCTGTCATCTGCCTTCTGTCTGCCAGCCCTGGGGTACCTCGCAGCCCAAGCCACCCCATCTCGCTCCCCGGTCCATGACATACCTCAGACATCAGTCCATGCACTGCAGTTTTTTGGCAGGGCTGGATGGGTCTTGAAAAGACTGGAATTTCCCAGATGAGTCAATGCTTGAAGGACCGTCAACCCCAGAGTGTCCCAGTATCCTCTCCCTCTGACACCATGAAAAGTCCCAGCCCAGAGCATCATCCTTCTGGTGGCATTTCCTCAATGAAATGGGCCATCTCTCCCCAACGCTGGGGGAAATTTTGAAATCCCCCTGTCCTGGGAAGAGCTGCTCAGGAGGAGAGGCAGATCTAAAAGAGCAGCCAAAGGCTTGTGCAGTGCGTGGGGACACCATGCCCCACAAGACCAAAAACCTCCAGCCACCGAGCAGGAACAGGACTGAGTGCCCTGGGGGTGTACATTGCTCCCTTGCCATCTGTTAGTGCCTGTCCCCTGCTCCCAGCTGGGACCCTTTGTGTTGAGGTTTCTCTGATCCAGGCTGGGAAGGCTGGGTTTCTGCTGCCCTGTGGGTACCCCAAGCCTGCGAGCGAGGAGAGCAGAGATGGTTGGATGCTCTTCAAGTCCAAGGGGACAGTTTCACTCCTGCATGCCTCAGCTGGCCACTGAGTTACTGACACCAGCACCAGCTCTGGGGTTTAAGAGCTGACATGGTTTTGTCACCATGGCTGGTGACATGAGACTCCTGCTCCCCTTCCTTAGGCTTCCTTCTCCCTTGCGTTTTCCAGGCTTTTGGATATCCCAGCACAAGCAGGTAACCCAACCCGGCTGCAGAGGCCCTAGGGAAGTATCCTGCTGCTTCTGATCATAACCAGGTGTTTTAAGAACCAGATGATAAAGCCAGGAGTTCTGCTGGGTGCTCTGACATGAAAGGGACGGGGAGGGAGGAGGGATTTTTGTCTTTTTTTTCTTTTTTCTTTTTTCTTTTTTTTTTTTTGAGGCTTGTGCTTTTCCTTACAAGTTTATAAATCACTTCACGGATCATTCTCCTCCTTTCAAGTTGGTCTCGGATTGATCCCTGTGCCCATATGTTGAGCACACAGCCTCGGAAGCCCCGACACGTGCATGGCAGCAGGATGCTTTCAAAGGCAGCACTGCGGGCAGCTCCTGCCTGGCCTCGCCAGTACCTCGGGGAGAGGGGGCGAAGCTGGGGCTGGGCTAGGGTCTGATGTTGCCTCCTCCCATTTGCCCTTCAGGTTGCCTGTCCTGGAGACCACGGCACCGTCCAGCGATGTGACTCACCCCCACCACCTGGTCTCGGTGGTCCCCAGCAGATACCCGCGCTGGTTCACCCTGGGGCACCTGGAGTCGCAGCAGTGCGAGCTGGCCTCCACCATGCTCACAGCAGCCAAAGGTTGGTGGGGGCACAGCTCTGGGATGGGAGTGATGGGATGATGCTGCACAAGAGCATTGAAGCGATTTTCCTGGAGACAAGAGGGAGCTCCTGCTCCCTCAAGCACTGGCAGAGACTGGCTGGTGCCCCACTGGGAGCCTGCTCGAGTCTGGGATCTCTGAGGCCCTTGTCCCAAAGGGCCCCAAGGCTCGTGGTCCAGCAGGGTGGGACAGGAGGTTCCCAGGAGATGCAGGCAACCCTGCAGGGATGCCAGCCACAGTGCTGCAGATCCTGGGTAGTGCCCTGGGGTGATGCCGGACCATGCCAGCCCTGCAGCTTGGTCAGCTGCCAGACCAGCTAGCCCTGCCAGACGTGTCGTGGGTTCATGCCATGGTTTAGTTTTAAGCTGCTTATCCTTTTGCCTCTGCTTTATCTCTTCCTGCCCTATGGTAATGATCTTGCACAGGCTGTAGGAGGGAGAAGAGGGCTGCAGATGGGGACAGCTGTGCTGGGTGGGACACTGGGGTTGCGCTGTGAGGGGCTCGTAAAACACCTTCTTGCTGGTCTCTCGGGCCTCTTCGTTTCCTGCCCAGGCGCAGTGATGAAGGCAAGCACAGGCTTTTCATTAAACATCCATGTCCAGAAACCAACCCCACTGGGACAGCGAGTGCCTTGTGCCCTGTGAGGGCTGGAGAGCCAGGCAGTCAGTGCTGCCTGTGGCTGTCCCCCACAGTTTGCAGCAGCCTCCAGCCCCTGGCACTGCCAGCCTGAGGGGAAGGTGCTGCTTCCCCTGCAAGGCAGAAGGTAAATGAGCCGTCAGAGAGCTCCAGCCTCACTGCCTTGGCAGCCTCTTCTCTCCTTCCAGCACTCTTCTTCGCTGCTTTTCCAGGGCTGATGGTCTCCTGCCCCTGCCTTGCAGAGCCCTGATGGAGAGCTGGTACCTGCCTTATCCTTAGTTTCTTCTCCCAGCTGTTGGTGGGGATAAGGTTTTTATGCTGGGGGTGTAGCCCATTGGATTACATTTGGTTTTCCCACCATCCCCTTCCCTGGATGTTCCCCCACCACAGCATGTCCCAGTGTGATCCTGTGTCCTCACAGCCTCTCACCCGCGCCCCCATGACCCCTTTTAGGGAGGCTTGGATTTTGGTGGCAGTGCAAGTGGCTGCTCTGGGTGGCAGGCGATATCTTTAGCTATTTATTAGTCACCCATGATGTCTGTGCGTGCCCAGGTGCAGCGCTGGGTTTTTCACACTGCTGTGTGTTATTTGGTTTTCTTTACATGAGGTTCATCTGCTCAGTATACAACTGGGAGTAGAAACACGAGACTGGAGCAAAGCAGAGGGACCTGGTGTGGCATGTTGGCTTCTCTGGTCTGCACTCACACCAAAGGTCCCTTTCCCCACCCTGTATCCCACAAGGACTGACAGGAGGTGCCAGGGATTTTCAGAGTGAGATGTGGGATCATGATATTAAAACACCTTGATGGGTCTCTCTTCCAAGATCCTGCCCCATCTCCCAGTGCCATCCTGTATCTTTCTAGCCCCTGTGGCCTCCTGCAGCAGGAGTCCCACAGCATCACTGGGTGTTGTTCCAGGAACCCCCTTCTTTGAGGGTATCCCACCCTGTCTCAGTCATGAGAACTCAGGGGTATCCAGGACTGAGCCTCTGCAGCGAGTCCAGGTGACCCTGGCCCAGCCTTTGCTATCCTTGAGGTGGGAAGGGACTTACTGGGCAAGACAGTATGTGTGCAGCAAGCAGCCTTTCCTCTTCTTTTTAATGTTTCTAAATGAAGACTGACCTTTCCGCAGCCATTCAGCACTGCGTGTGTACCCAAACCCTCCCTTTGTTGGGAAAAGGCTTCTTTACAGCTGTCAAACTTGAGCCTGGGGTAAAACATCCAGGTGCCTGGAGATGTCTGCTAATGCTCCAGGACGTGTCTGGGATCACTCGGGGCTGTTTGTCCTCTCTGTGAGAGGATGGTCTGGAGCAAGGATGGGTGCTGTAGGATGTGTCACCCCTGAGGAGAATGCCCCATTTTGCTGTTGGACTGCAGGGCCTGACCCAGCATCCCTGTGCATCCCTCTGTGTGTGCGTCCAAAGGGGCTGACCATGCTGAAGGGGCTGTTCACCACCCAGTGCAGGCAGGGGATGGGGCTCAGGGGCAAGGTGGGGGGAGGCCAAGCCATCTGACTGTCCTTTCCTGCAACCAGGTGACATGCTGCGCCTGCGCACAGTGCTGGAGGCCATCCAGAAGAACATCCACTCCTCCTCTTTGATCTTCAAGCTGGCCCAAGATGCGTTCAAGATTGCCACGCCAAAAAACTCGGCCCCGACGCTGCTCAATGTGGCGCTGGAGCTGGGGCTCCAGGTATGGATGGCGTGGGGGGATGCCAGCGGCCCTTCTGCTCCTCATGCTGCAGTATGACAGTCTTCCACCAAGCAGATGGTCCCCATGGAAGGAGTAAATTCATCCCTGCATGGCTCTGAGCAGCAGAGTTCAGCCCTGGGAGGTTGCTGTGCCCGCTGAGGTTTGGGTGGAGGCGAGGCAGCACTGGGGAGCCTCATGGGGAGCTGGTAGCCAGCTGGGCCATGGGGGTTTTTGGGGAGTGCTATGGTGCTGGGTGGCCTTGATGGAGCTGCGTGGGGCAGCCGGTCACCCCAGGTTTGCCTTGCAGGTGATGCGCATGACCCTGTCCACCCTCAACTGGCGGCGGCGGGAGGTGGGGAGGTGGCTGGGGGCGGGGGGCACTG